TATATACACTTACCTCGAAGCTGAAATTTATCTTCATTTTAAAGTTATTTTCTTTTGCTGGTGGTGCTAGTACTACATCCAGATTTGTAAGATCACCAGCTGTAAGATTTAATGATCAAAATATACATTATTGATTTTCGATAGCAATGAAAAAACAAAATAAAGTGGGTGCCTAGTAACTGCAATAAACGCTAGAGTAGGCGAGGTTGCAAATGGTTTTGCTAAGCTGAGTAATCTGCCATGTTTGTTTTGATCAGGTGCACTCTGGTTTACATTAATTTTCGTTGTCAACGAAGTCTATTTTTACGAACCAGCCGAATGAATGTCATATTCAACGAAAAACCATTGCCAACGAAACAAACCAGTCGAATACGGCCATTGAATGCATATTGAACTGTAGGAGTTGTTGCCGCATTGGTTGTGATTTGATTGAAGCCCCACTCACCTTAACATAGAGATTATGTCTCCACGCATTTGACCAATTCCTTGGACAACACACTTTATCCCCATTGGCTGTCTCTATCCAAGAGTATAACTGTGTATTGACAATGCCCTGGTTACTATAGTATGTATTTCAATGACTGAAATTAACGTTAAGCGCAGGGGCCCCACTCTATGGTCCTCGACCTATCACCCTGACCAAAAAGGTCTTTGTTGATACATAACAGCATAATGTGTCTCTGACATCAACGGTAGGACATATATCCAGTGCCAGATGCCCCACTAAATTTGTCAATTTTTTTTTTAAAGGAGATAAAAAGAAAATTATATTCACAATTGTAAGTCTGTGAGTGCCATTTCCCGCCATTCAGGTGCCAAAATAATAAATGTTATTACCTCAGCCTCAACCATGGCAGGGCTGAGGTGGTAGACCATCCATCTCTGAAAGTTCCTCCATGGTCCCCCTCATTTCAAATTACTAGATCTACCACTGATATTATGCCATTTATTCGTCGTTAAATCTAAAATCTAAACGATGGAATTAGCGAATGAGTCCCAAAAAGGGCCCAGCAGTGGGTCCAGAAATTTGCTGACATGGGTCCGACATGTCCGACAGGGGGCTCTGAATTCCAAGGGGCCGATAGAGCCTCAATGCTGTCCTGGTCCCTGATTAAAAAATGTCGCTGGTAGGGTTCAAGAGAAAGTTTTTAGGCCTTAGTATGGTCCAAATTGTGCTTTGAGACCGCAATAATAGGAATTGACAATTAAAATAACGTTATTTGAATAGGCAAATAATATTTTTTAAAATATTTTTGATCCGACGACATCGTCGTGGAGTCAGACGACAAGGGTACAGGCATGTCTGACAGGGGAAAATTCCCTTCCCTTCCCCTCTGGCGCCACCAATGAAAGGGCCCCAGTCTCAGAAAGACACGCGCTACAGTTTAACATCTTGCATGCCTTTCTTTAGTGGCGGCACTAGCGGGGGCGGGGTGGGGAGCACCGAACCAGAAAATTTTCTCACCTCCAGTCCCCCCCCCCCAAAAAAAGGAAAAACCACAATTCGTCGGGGAGAAAAAAAGATGATATATATTTTCTACATATCAGTAGACTATCTATTATTTTTAAAAATCGATTAAATAAGCCTCTGAAACCCGAAACCTCTAAATTGTCATATTTTTCGGTGGATTTTCCCCCCTGGAATACTTTCAAAACATTTTGATCGACGCCCGACCATGGCCACTTCGGGCCACCCCAGAATATTGCTTCCTCCCTAAAATTTTACCTAGCCCCTTACTTGCCGCCCACCTAGCCCCTTACTTGCCGCCCCCCCCCCACCAAACCCCAGATTTCAGTCGCTGGCGCCGCTGCTGTCTTTGTCTGAAAACACTGTTAACACAAGTTGGTTATTTACTGTCTAATGATTTTTATTTTTCTAAAGGCCAACTCAGACAGCGTCGTACGATGCAGCCCGACGCGATTTGTTTTCGCGTCGGGTCTGTGTGAGTTAAACGCAGACGCGATGGTTTGCAGTCGCGTCGTAGAATACCGTATTAAACATGTTTAATATTTCTCACGATGGCTTATATATTAAGACTGTCCCGACGATAAATTGCGTCGGGCTGCGCCGTTCGACGCTGTCTGTGTTTCGGGGTATAAAATATAATTCAGTTTTAAAACGATATAGGTACTATTGATTATTAATATTATCAATTGATAGGCCTATATAGTATTTTGTATCACCGTGTCAAATACTAGTTCATTTTATTGCTAAGCTTGCCGACAACTTCTGGCCGACAACTATGCCTATAAACACGATTAGCTTTCAAACGTGCCACTAAGAGCTTGACAATTGTGTTTAAATCCTCTACGCAGTTGGCATAGTTTACAGATCAATACATTGAAAAACAGGATGCATTAACTTACAGTATACATCAATCTCAATGCACTGCTGCCTACTCATGAATCTGAAAGATAATTACATTTGTATACATAAATACATAGGCCTACATACATCCAGTGTTACATGTTTTATTTGTCTATCTGCTCTGCTATATACTGCATTGAGCACTCTTGTCTACATGATCTGGTTTAAGCCAACCACGCAGATTACATCTATATGT